CACTGTTAAATTAAATATAATAAATCATCAAAGAAAGGTAAATACAGTGTTCAATAAAGGACAATAATACATCGCGTAGCATAGCTCTCAACGAATGTAGTCCTGTAAATAAATAAATTTATTAAACACTGTATTTACCTTTCTTTGATGATTTATTATATTTAATTTAACAGTGTTAACGGCTATCTTGATTTATATTATATGTACCTATATTGTTTCTAGCCGTACTTATTGTGTAATGGAGTGTATCTGGTGGTATTTGAATCTGTTTAACCATGAAGCCTCCGTGGTCTAATGGTTATGACGCTCGCCTTGACAGCGAGAGGTCGCAGGTTCGAGTCCCGCCAGAGGCATTTTATTACACAATTTCTTTCTTTATTTACAGGACTACATTCGTTGATTCTTTATTTACAGGACTACATTCGTTGAGAGCTATGCTACGCGATGTATTATTGTCCTTTATTAAACACTGTATTTACCTTTCTTTAATGATTTATTATATATATATATATATAAAAATATAAAACATTTCAAAATATTTGAATTTAAATATTATTATCATAACATACGTGAAACCTGCTCTCATTTACCAAAGGATTTACTGACTATACGCAAATAGAATGCGAGTATGGCGACTCCAAACAATGACAGACGTGAGGCCATAATAGATTCTACGTTTCTTTTTTTATCAAGAGTGAATAATCCAAGTCCAAGATGGCAACAAAAATAACTAAAGAAACCAAAACAAAATATACATTCTTGGATGCGCAGCCTTCAGTACAGGGCACACAGAATATGTTCCCCTGGTTCATCATTAGATAAAGAGATTGACACGATTAAAAAACTGGTGACATGGAATTGTTTCCCGAAGCGTATTTTCTATCATATTCTTTCTAGTCTTGGTATTCAGAATAACGTAACTGATCCCAGTGTTAACGTTAATAATAGGCCAAACATCTGGATGCACCTACCTTTCATTGGTAAACAACGTAAATGAATTAGAAAGATAAACAGACATTTGACTATTGCTAAATTTGTCTCGCTCTGGCAAACCAAACAAATTTCATATTTTACTTCTCATAAAAATCGGACACCGGAAGAGTATTGTAGCTCTATAATATTCAAATTCAAATGTCCAGGATGCCTCGGAGTTATATGGGCAAAACTGAAAGGTAATGCAAATAGTAATGTACATGAACACACTGAGATTTGTGAAGGTTTTAACCATATAATTGGTCTTCATCTTATCGATGCCGACGATACTAAACAATCTCTTATATAGTCCTCATTATTTGAAAAAAAAAATATTATTCATGGCTCTGTACATTGGTCAGAATTTTAATTGCTGAATCCTTAGCAATAAAAAGATGAAGCCTAGTCTAAAATATGATCCCAGATCCTCTAAAGTGCTTGCATTGTTCATGTAAGTGTAAGGTGCTAACTATGCCTTTGTTCTACAATTATAATTTTTTCCATCAGCAGGATCATGTTGTCTCCTTCATTATTAGATCTACCTACTTCTTTTCTGATTGGTCAGAATTTATCTTTTGTTTTGATTTCTGTTAGTTAAGTTTGTCACCATTTTGGACTTGGACTATTCATTCTTGACAATGTTCTAGCGTAGATGCAGTTATGGTCTCGCACGCCTGTCATTTGGCCTCTCGTCTGTCACCATAACTTATATTCTACTCTCATTATATAAATATCTGTCTCTTATACACATCTAGATGTGTATAAGAGACTGTTGACAGACATGAGGACAAATGACAGCCATAATCTGGAATATATATATTCCAGATTATACAGGTGATAATCTAAAATATATATATTTTACATCTTGAGTTTAGTTTTTTATCATGATGCAAACATGTATTGCAGTCTAAAACCGGTTCTCTTACCTCTACAAGCAATTCCATCACCTTCATAGCCGATCTTACACATACAATTGTATGAACCAATGGTATTATTACATACGGCATTATTACTGCAGTTGTGTTCATTGTTAGGCAAACATTCGTCAACATCTATTAACATAAACCAGGTGGACAATTTATTTAAATATTTATTCTTATCTTGTAAACATACAGTACAATTAATCTATACAATTAGATTATATTTACTTATAGTGTCAACAATGATATTTTTTCTAAATTCATAAACACTGATTTCAATTAAAAGATTAATTCACAGAAGAGTACAAATGAAAAAAAAATATATTTGAGTGAAAATCAGTACATTCGTATTGATGACGCTAACTGGAAATCGGCGAAATTGTAAACATTAAAATTACAAAGCATACTGGTTTTACCAAAGATTATAAATGGTTATACCCAAAAGAATACTTTTCTATTTTATTGTATGGGTGTCTCTCATGCTTGCAACTACGGTGAAATTAATGGGAGTCTCCCAGATCCTAAAATGTGTATTTTCTTTTATAATTATTTGTTATAATTTTTATGGTTTGTAGGACTGAATAAATAGTTTTTGCAATTGTAATTTTATTATTAGGTAGTTTTCGCCGCACAACGTTAACCTTAACTTCAACGTTAGTACCCAACAGGCAACGCAATAGCTCCGCCTCTTTTGTAAACAATTAAAAATACGCATGCGCAAACCTGTAACTAACGTACTTCAAGCACGTAAAATCCTGAAATTAACGTACAGTACTCCGCAACGCAAGATGAATAAATTATGACATCATCCGTTAACGTTAAGGTTAAAGTCGTGCAGTAAAAGCTACCTACAGTAGTATCAAAAGGTATTACCGATGCAGATACTGTTTCCATCAAGCTGCTGAAGTCTATATCCATTGTAACAATAGCATTCGTATCCAGGTACAAGGTTTCGACAATTCTGCTGACAGATAGTTTTATTGTTCTGGCATTCGTCGATGTCTAATTGAATAATTTAATTTAAAAAAATTGTTGGGACTTGAAAGCACATTATATCGAATCAAAATATTTCTTTTTGCCAAGTATGTGGTGTTTTAAAAACAGGGATGGTGCAAGGATTTGCCAGAGAAGGGAGGGGGGAGAGGGAAGGGAAAATGTACCCCACGAGAGAAAAGTGGGCGTGGTCGGGCGTGTCTCAAAATCTGTTGAAAGTGGTCAAGGGGGCTTATCCCCCAAAAATAAGATAATTTAGGGGTTTCTAATATCTTATTTAATCGATTTTGCAGTTTACAAGTATGTAGAAAAGACATATTTTTTTCTCTCTCTTTGACGAATTGTGGTGTTTCTCTACGACGAGTGGAGGGGGGGCAGTTCTTCCTGACGAAGTGGCCCTGGCCTTCACTGGCCACTGACGCCACCCCTGTTTACAAATTGTAAGTAGGCTCTTTATGATGCATGATTTTTAAACCGAGAGTATTGTGATCACACCTTCAATGTCAGTCTAAATAGTTATATAAAACTACAGAATTTCATTTTCTGAAATTGACAAGAAGAAAATAGTTTGTAGAAAAAATGGACATGTATTTTTCTAACTGACCAAAACACTTGAATCCATCTCCTTCAAGGCCGGTGGGGCAGGCGGAACAGGTAGCTGTTTCAGAGGGAGGGGGTTCGTCAATACAAGTAACGCCTGGGTAACAAACGTTATCTTCACAAGCGTCGTAATCTGTCCTACAATCAGAACCAGTGTATCCCGGTGTACAATCGCAATCAACAATCTGCAATTCATAAATGATGACGTTAGTGGTTTATATTAAATCATCAAGCAATCTTTGACATGCATACTCTAAAAAAATGGAATTTGGATTTTTATTTAATGCTCACCCCTTATTGAGCTTACAACCCTATGCTTATTGCAGACATTAAATATCATAAAAATTCTTAAATTATAATTTTATACCATCTGTATTAATATTTGTTCTGTGTGTGGATACTAATGTGTGGGCATGCTTTAACCGTATTATGACTTTGTTTCTCGAAATATTACTTAGATGAATTTAAAATATTACTTTTTATATGCCCATTATTCCTGATTGCATGCACTGCAGGTGGATGTTTGGTCTGTCGGATGGTAACATAATAAAGTTTAGCTATCAGTTTATTTTTTTTAGTAAAGAAGGCTAGAGGTCATTGTTCGTTAAATGATTTACTGTGTTTACTTTCAAGTGTAGGTAACAGTAATTACACTGCAATATATCCTTATAATATTGTATATAGATTCCTAATGCTAATGTTTATCTCTTTATAAATTTTGATTTTAAAATTATAACATTCAATGCAATTTTAAGTAATTTTTAATTGAATATTTGAAGGTACCGATTTTCAAGTATTAAGATCAAATCAATTGAAGCTAACATTGACTGCCAACGAAAGCTCGTGTCTAATAAAAATACATCTTTAAAATTAGTCTCAGAGTACTGCTTTATCATTACCTGTTATAGATATTTGTGCAAACTAACACGGCCACAACCACTGAAGTTTTTAAGATGTAATGATGCTGTTTTGATTTGTGAATTTTTGTTATAATGTGTCTTGTTCTTTCTACTCATTGTTTTGCTGACTGTTTTTGTCATATTATTATCTCCAAAAGACAAATTATCAACAAAATGAATCTCACTGCAAATTTATCAACAGCAACATTGGATTCAGGTCTTGGTTTATCAAAGATACATTTTCCTTCGTTTTTACAGTCACAAATGAAAACATTCGGTTGATGTGTCGTCGTCGCAGAGTTTTCATCACTGGCAACAAATGCAATCTGCGTCATTGATGTGTCCACAGGTGTCCAAGTAAAGACACCAGCTATTCAAACATTGAAACATCAAATGAAAAAAATTATTTCTGAAAGTGAAATGTGGAACTTGCAGAAGTTGGTATAATCACTCTATAGACTGTTGTTTTATATATATAAAACAAGATGACGCCTGGTTACAAATTCAAAATGTTATTGCACTACAGGCTGTTTCATGAGGTACTTCCTCAATCGTCAGGTGCTAGACTCTGAATGTGACTGCAGAATAACAACCATGCATGTCTTGGTATCATAATAAAAATTTCCTTCTGTGTCTACATGCACTAATCAATTCATTCTTACGGTTAGGTGAGCTTAATTTAGGGTTACATATAATAAAATATTTCTCGAGCAATTTTACTGACGTTTACTGATATTGAGTAGGGTTTGCATTTAGATAATACTTTCTATTTAATTTCATATTTCATATTCTCGCCTATAAGTTTCCAAATGTATTGGCTAAGCGCTGTACTATTCTTGTACGTTTTGTTGTGAAATGAGCTAGTATGCCCATTAAATCTGTCCTTAAAAACGTTTTCTGTCAGACCGACATAAGTTTCTATTTTGTTTTTGTCATCTTGGAATAGAACAGTGGCCTGATATACTATTCCTTTGCTTAGGCATTTATTGGATAGGGGGCACACGTTGCGGCAATTGCAATCTTTGACATTGTCATCTGTGCGGGTCGTGGCATTATTGAGTACTGTTTTGGTAGAAAACAATACTCAAGACGACGATGTCAAAGACCAAGATATGTATACAGCTAAATACTATTAATCTTCTATATTACCCCTATGAATGCTAATGAGTTATACCAATAAACCAATATAAACCAGATAACTATAAGCAGTTCCACCATGCATGATTGTTTTTCTGCAGTCTCATTCAGAGCCTAGAACCTGACGATTGGGGAAGTACCTTATGAAACAGCCTGTAGTGCAATAAAATGTTGAATTTGTAACCAAGTCATCTTGTTTTGATTTTACACCGCTCTTCCCCTGCATCGAGCACTGTTGTCTAAATGATCTAGTTTCAACATACACTACCTAGTTTATATATATATATATATATATATATATATATATATATATTCACATACATACGGTATAAGTATTATTAACATTGTCATTATATTATCATTGCCACTATCACTGACACTAGCACTAGCACTGCCATTGTTAATATCACTATTATTATTATTAATACTATTAATATTATATATTTATATATTTATGTATTTATTCATATATTCACAAACATTAATGATATGTAACAAATATTCTAAAGTAACTGAAATTAGCATTAATATTTTGTGCAAGAATTGCTTTGTAAAACTCACTAGACTCATTAATATATGGATCGTTTGAATCTGTTAACAGAGAGTAATATACGTTGCCTTCCTCCTCGTCTTCTGCACTGATGTTGTAAGTAAATAATTGATTGACGGTCACATTAAGTTGCTGCGGTACATCAACAAAAGTAGGTGGGAAGTTTGCTGTTAAAAAATATGAGAAAATAATGAAAATTAGCCTCGAATATAAAATATTAAGGTAGTATAAAATACCAATGACATTGGTAAATATTAATATATAAATAACGAATTCAGTCCTGTTAGTTAGTATAACAAAAATAACATATTGAAAACATTGTCCACCATTGTGCTTAAGTAATAATATACATCGTTTCATGTATATGCTGTTAGTTTTCATTGTAAATTTTACATTTACAAATTCCAAAGTCTTACCAAGCTTTTCAGCAACATCTTTGTTGTTAGAATTTGTTGCTTTTGTGCTTTTTGCAAGTTCTTCATTATTTGTAACTAATATGTCATAACTACAGCTACTATCACTTCCGCATATGTCGTAGATGCCGTGATCGTTCGCAGCAAAAAGGTTTACAGGTAAATCCTCCAAAAATACAGGTAAAAATTTAACATCATTAAATACGCTCCAACTTTGATTTTGTATATAGTAGAACAGCGATGAATTGGGGGAAGTTCTCCCTGTAATTTAAAAATATAATAGAATGAACTGAACGTTATTGATAGGTAAAGATAAGATATTTACAGTCAGTAAAAAGTTTCATGTACACATGTCCATGCCACAGATAAAACAATATCAATCCTTTTAATCGAGCGGGAAAGGAATACTGAGTTTATCAGGGGTATGCTTCATTAAGAATTTAAATCCGATTAGAAGTAAGTAATTTTTCACATTCTGTACATGTGTAGAACAATTTAATTTATCGATGCATTAAAATAGCAGAGATAAATACGATAAATTTCATTTTAACGGCAAGACTGGATCTCCGAAAAGATACTATTTTCATAAATATTTTAAGGAATATAAAACTCTAAAACTTCTTGCGGTAAAGCTATGGACTTAATCAGCGCGAGTGATATACATTAGAGATACTTAGCTACAAGTTGCCTGAAATTTAATTGGCCTATCAACAAAGCATATATATATATATATATATATATATATATATAATACAAATATAAAAATACATATTATGACAAACATACTATATACAGATAGGAAGCAGCATAACGAATGTAAATCAGATCTTTAAAGTCAGCATTTATAAAGTACAAACTATATTTTTTAATAAAGCAACTTGCATGTTTCTCCGTATATGAATATATCCTTTTCATTACTACTGTTCACTGGCAATATTGTACCATTTGGAAAGGAAAAATCATCACTCTTATCGCCGTTCCAAATTCCTGCAATGGTAATAAATAATATTCATATTTTCTGACTTTCAGTATTTTAGTGATATAATAATATAAAAAATCAATACACAACTGAGTAGAATATACTTACCAAATAAACCTTTTGTTTTATTCTTGAACGATTCTGGAATGGAAACTAATATGTTAAACATGTCGAGGGATGGTGTTACTGACATGGCGAACCCAGATGACCACAGTGCTACTACACTCTCACTAGTATTACTTGATACTAGCTTCACAGAAAAACTTGGATCTTCTGGTGGGATATAGGGACCTAAAAAGTAAAAACATAATGAAAGTCTTTAGACGAAATCAATTGCTATTTGCTATCATACACACATTTTTTTTTCAAGTATACTTTTAATGTTAGTTGCAGCAATAGAGAGATTACAACAATTCTCATGAAGTGGCCACGGCGGTAGTAAGTTTTTACTTTGTATGTGTTGTTGAATGCTAATAACGTATATTCTGATACAACAATCTGTATCAGTTTATATACGGTACTGAAAGTTGTGTTAAGTCTGAAAAAAAAGTAGATGAATTTAAAATAACTCATGATAAAAGCTCATGGTCTTTTAATCCCAGCCCCTGAGTTGTTATGCAAATGACTGTATGTGTTATATATAATTTAATAGGTCTTGAATGAAAAACTTGTTATATTGTAACAACAAACATTGCACTTAACATTAAAATCCACGAATTAAGTTAACAATGTGTGCATGATAACCATAATGTAATACCTGGATCCCATCTCAGAGACCTGGTTTCAAATCCTATAACCACAAGCACATTTATTGACCGTTTGTTGTTGACGCGATTTCATAGTGACCGTATTAGCCTATCTAGGCGAAAAAATGGCATTATGTCGTCAAGCGTTAACAAAGAGCCAGTGGTGTAGCCAGAGGATGTATTCACTTTTTGTTCAAAATTAAAAAAACAATAGTAAATTAATTAAAGTAAATAACAAAGTAAGTTACTTTAGTCATGAACAAGCATTAATCTCTGAACAAAATTGTTATTTCATTTGCTTTTTATTATAGCTTCCCTTCTATTTGTCGGATTTTTTTTTCCACTGTTCTTTTATTTTAACTAGAAGTTATTACTACACGAAACATCCTTTTCGAAATCCTGGACTGAGCAAGGAGGTTAATTTCTCCGGCAGTTGACTGTAGACTAACCACAAGGAGTATATGCTATCTTCTAATTGGCGAGATATCCGTGATTAGGTGTTTAATTAGCTGTGGAGCTGTATAAATGAAATGTATATGTATAAAGTAAATGAATTGTAGCTATCGATAGGTATTTTAATAGGTAAGGCAATTTTAAGTTTTGGTCATATTTTAAGACATACAAGTATTAATAAACGTCACCATTATCTTACCGACACTGAGAACTGTTCGATTAATCGTGTCCGTCTCATTTAGAAGAATGTCAAAAGTATTATTTTCCTTCAATGATATTTGAAACTGAAATAAATCAGACATAGTATTATATTGAAATAAGGTAATAATTAATTAAAGATGGGTAACTAACGTTACTATTGTATATTTTTTAACAGTGTATATGGAACCAGTCTGTCCAAATGTATCATATAGAAGTCATTCTACAATTACCGGTAAGTGCGACGGCAATGTTTGGAGATAAAACTTTTCTAGACCTGACATAATTGACGCTTATACAATATACAGGATATTTTTATAATATAATAATAATAATACTAATAATAATAATAATAATAATAATAATAATAATAATAATAATAATAATTTCTAGACCCGACATAACTGACGTTTATACAATATACTGGTTATTTTTATAATGTAACACTACTACTACTAATAATAATAATAATAATAATAATAGTAACAGTAGTAGTATATTATAATAATAATGATGATGATTATTAATAATAATAATAATATTTATTATTATTATTATTATTATAATGTTAAAAATAAAGTAATAATAAAATAATAAAAATAATAATACTAATACTAATAATAATAAAATAATAATAATAATATAATAATAGTAATAATACTAATACTAATAATAATAATAATAATAATAATAATAATAATAATAATAATAATAATAATAATAATAATAACAACCTTGGTAGATCCGTTGTGTTGTGCAACAAATGCTGTAAAGATTGTGGCATTGAAGTCTTGAAACTTCTCAGTTCTACCCTGAACAATGATAAATTGATCGTCTACATCCACGAGGACGTACTCTCCTAATCCATTAAATGTGAACTCTACCCCATCCAGTGTCTGTAAGTGAGGATCACCAAACATCCATCCTAAAATGACATACAAACGAGAATGTCAGTAAACTGTGAATTTTCTTAAAAATGTTAATTAACAACACAATAATGGTAATAACAACAACAACAATATAAAATATAATTTGTATAAGACCTCTTTTATAATACACTTTGAAGAGCAGAAGCTCTCAATATATATTTTAATAAATATATATATATATATATATATATATATATGCATATAT